GTTACAATAGTCCAGGCATGAGGTAATGAAACAATGTATCAGCTTCTCAGCAACAGAGTCGGACAGCGATGGCCGGAGTCTTGAAATATTTCTGAGGTGGAAGAATGCTGATTTTGAAACGGATTTGATGTGGTTTTGAAATGAGAGGGTTGAATCCAAGACGACACCAAGGTTGCGGACCTGAGGTGTAGAAGGGAGTAACACTTCATGTCCTGCAGAAACTCTGCTTTATTCATCTTGCTGATTCCTTTTGTTCATATGAATCCTGTGCACTCTTTAATATGGAATCAGATTTAAATTGAAATAAGCAAACAAGAACTGTTAAATAATTTTAAAGAAATAGGAATTTGATGGAAAGTAAAACTCAACTAAACAAAAAAGTCATTGCAAAAGTGAAACTTATAACTATACCATCAAATCATTTGGGTAATGAAATAAACTATTGGTCTTTAACTTTTATGATAAATCAATACTTACACTTTATTGACCTCATAGGACTTCAGTAAAAAAGAAAGTGGGCAGTGAATGCTCCGTGCTGCTGTTTAGGGCGATGGTGTCGTGCAAAACCCAAATTTGCAGTTGCTGCACTGAACATTGTCCGGGCACTTAGTTGTCACTTAGCCTGCGCCCCCCTCAGGCAGTGCATGCAAACCAACTGTGAGGGCAGGAGCTGATGGTGAGAGAAAAGCAGGGGGATGTAAAAAGAAACACATGCTAGCAAAGAGAGATTACTTTTCTTTGGTGAGTTGAACAATTTTTGCTCATAAGCATGTAAAGGTATAAATCAGAAATTACACAAAAATAACAGTTTAAATCTCAAGAGCAACAAAACATTGGCAATATTTCTTCCCAATTAAAACCCACAACAATAATTCTTCACCACTCGGCAGCATCGGTGAGCAATGAACACATTCCACTTGGTGGCAATGACACAACCTGAAGTGATTCTTCACTCCCCTGGTGTAAAAGGCTTTTCAAAATCATAAACTCTCTGGGTTGGTATGAACCTGGAAAGCTGTAGAGGATAGACTACAGCAGGGGTACTCAAATACAAATCTTAAAGGTACAAAACATTTTTTTCAATAAGACAAAGGTCCGTTTATTACGGTCATTCAAACTTTTAAACAATTACAACAAGATTCTTAACACGAGGTTGCAAAAACAAAAATAATCTGTATGCAGCAGTTGTCATTGTTATTGTGTCTGTGCTCGATCCCTCAGAGTCGCAGTGTAAGATCTGCATTTATGAATAAAGGCAGCTGCACCCTCTTTCATTCAGCATTCCCATTATTGCTTTATAAATGTCTTGCCCCCTTGTGTGTCCACTGAGGTTCGTCAGGCCCAACATCTTCAACAAACTCCCCCTTTGCCTCATCATAAAAACTCACTAACACCAGCAACTGAGCATTGTCAGTGGTGTCAGTGGACTCATCCACAGCTAAGGAAATGTACTGTGCATTTTGTATTCCATCACAAAGCTGATTAATCAAATCACCAGCCAGTATTTATGTTCTTCTGGTTGCTGTGGAATCTGAGAGGGGGATTTGCTTGACCTGTTATTTCCTCTTTTTAGTTTGCCTTCACACATGGTCTCCATCACTTCAGTCATGCATTATTTTATACTTCAGTTATGATCCAGTGGAAAGCCCTTACCTACTGGCCTAGTTCAATCAAAGTGGTTACTTTCTTTTGGCTGGGCAGTGAAGTGTACACACCGTCTGATTTGACTTTCTCAGGGCAGACCCCCACAAAGAAAAAATATATTTACACACGTCAGGTCATCATCTTAACAGTTTTGTATGCTCATCCGTGAGCAGAGCATCAAGTTGACATGTCTATTACAGCTGAATGCCGCGATTACCATGTTGTTCAGCAAAACGCCTCACAAACGTATTAAGATCCAAAGCTTTAGTGCGTTTTGATTCAATGCAGAGTACAGCCACACTGACAGTCTCTTCTCTGTCATTGTAGACCGCAAATACCTCATTCCTTCAGTACTTGAGCCTAAACTTTTCTTTCAAAACAAAGCTGCCAACTGGGGTGGCAGCTGGGGTGGCAAAGCCTATTTTGAGGGTAGCAGTTGCCCCCCCATGCCACCCCAGTAGGTGAAACTAGGCTACTAGCTACAGTACAGATGCAACTAGATGAGCTGTTAACTCTCGTTCTGACTTTTTTTTTTTAAACACACGCATTTTTCCCACCCGCATTCCGCGAAGACCCACCCTACTGTGCCTCTGATTCGCAGAATATTGGTGCGGGGAAAAAACGCTGACGGGATGCTGAATGTGATTGGACCAATGCGTTCACAGACACACACAGACAGTGGAACAGTCGGACATGCAGAGCGCTGTTTGTAGTGGACATAGCGGAACATTTTGACTCTTTGCGTTGTGGCGATGTCTCGCAGATAACACATATGAAAAGTATAATTTGCTCAGAGTCCAGAGACAGTTGTGGTTCGGTCCGGATCCGGACCGGAGTCCGGACTTTGAGGATTCCTGTTGGTTTGGGATTGGGCCTCTGTTTATGAAAATATGTAATAATTTATGAAGGCTACGGAACAGAAACATAACATTCAAACTCGTTAAAAGGAAAGGCTAGAATAGCATCTCCATACATTTACCTCATTTCCACCATATTTATGATGTTGTTGATATAGTGTTTGTGTGTGTGTTTGTGTGTGCATGCATGTATATGCTTATATGATTGTGTGTGTGTGTGTGTGTGTGTGTGTGTGTCTGGTGTGCGTGCGTGCGTAAAATGTTATTTTGCTTGTTTGTTTATGGCCTATCTGTGTATGTGTGTGTGTGTGTGCATTTATGTATTTTTCTACTACTCTGTGTGAAAATATAAATAACTACCTTGGCGGTGTGTGCAGTGTAATCTGCTCCCAGCAGGCTGGATTCCCACTGTGAGAAAGACAGTATATTGTTCCTGCAGCACCACAGATAACAACTCATTAGCATACTGAATCATTTGGCTGCAAGAGCCACTCTGCCACCCATCTGCACTGAGCTGATAAACACACACACACGCCTGCTCCCTCTCTCACAGACACACGCACAAACATACACAGAGATCTATGCCGAGCAAGCACATAGACACTTACACAACCTGCTCACACACACGCCTCCTCTCATCCCTTTGCTTTCAATCCCTCACTTACACTCCCTGTATTCCTCTCTTTTTTGTGAGCCTGTGTGTTTCTGGAGAGTCAGGAAAATTGAAGCAGGTAAATGTTTGGCAGGCGTTAACCCAGAGGGCCCCTCAGAGGCGTCCCGGCAGTGCCAGAGCAGAGCGCAGGAGGGGTCCCCAAACACCTGGATGTGTCTGATGCTCTCTGGAAGCAAATTTAGTGTCTTCTAAATGTCTAAGAGCTGAAGCTGTTGCGGAGGTAGCAAAGTCTGCTGTGTGGAGTTATGGAATGTAGGGAAGAACACTTCAGAAAAGTAGAAATTATGTGGCAGTGCTACAAAAGCTAATTCCTTTTTTAAAGGCTGCAGGTTGGTGAGCCTAACTTTTTCGATTGCTTAAGTGAATAACTTTCAGGGAATGTGAGTCTGGAACAGCATGCAAACGAGTGCAGCATAGGCTGTCAAAACCACTTTCACAATGGCAGGATATCCTGCAGGTCACGGAGCCACGTTAACCTCAGCAGGAAGTCGTCACTTGTTGAGAGGAAGTGAGGATTCCAGCCTCCAATGGGGGAGTTTCGAGAGGAGGTTGTGGTTTAACTATGCACTTTCTAAAGATGTGAAACAGCTGCAAGGTATGCAATGCCAATGATGCCCTATAGGAATTTGACAATTAGGTAATGCAATCACAAGTGTAAATGGTAAATAGTAAAAACAGGCCCCTATATGTCCAGTTATTTGTAAAGTCAAGACATTTAATAGAATTACATTTAACTAAACTTGCTTTAAATGAATTGAATTAAAATGAATTGAATTAAACTGGATTTAATTAATAATACCGACAACATGCTCAAGTGACATCAAATACAAGGCTTTGTGCAGGCTCCTCTGCATGTTTTATTCAGGGGTTTTATATAAAATTCATCGATTTAACATTGGATATATTTATAGATACAGCTATCATACAACAAATATGTCATGACCAAACGTACAATGTCCCTTTACTGCAATTCATAAAATACCATAGTTACCAAAGGTACCAATATAGGCTACTAGGTCCTGCTAAAAAAGCAGAATAACCAACAACAGTGAGCAATACCTAACTGTATTAATCCAAAAACTGCTGGTGTTGTTATGATATTAACACTGTGTGTGGTGTATGTGCGTGCATGTGCATGTGCGTGTGGTTGTGTGCGTCTCTGCATGTGACTGTATGTGAAATGCGACAATGAAGGGATTTGTTTGTGTACCTTACTAAACTACAACTGCATAACAGTTAAAAAAACACTGAAACATTCATATCAAAAGGACTGCATGAGTCATTTCATGATATTATAGGACTCATATTTTGTACACTTTAAGAAACACTGCATGTCTTGTACCTCCGCAAATTCAAATAGATATATTCAACCCGGCAGTGAAAATGTTTAACTGTCTGTCGTCGTATTTGGTGTCATTTTCTCCTCACCAAAGTGTAACAGAAATAAAGGGTACCACATTTGATGTACTACGTTCAGTTGCTTGCTTTACATTTTGAGTTTCTTTCCTCTTTCCCCGCTTCATGTCTCCCAAAAGACCATTTTGCTAGTAAACCCATTGACAAACACACTACGGTACATCTTAAACCACATTAATTGAACCTCCACTCACCGTTGTTACATTGTGCAGTGGAAATATAATGCTATTTACAATACATACGTTACTGCATGGGTACAATAAAGTCCAGACTGTTCATTTATGGCCTAAAACTGAGACAAACTTACTTTTCTGTCTCATTCCAACACATTCAATTTGTTGGGCATGAATGAGGTTTATTCATTGATGTTTTAGAGCCTGTCCACACCATATTGTAATCAATAGTATCGTTCGTGAAGCATTGTTCCAAACTTCAATACAACACATAAAATATATTTGCTAAGTGTTTCTTAGCTGATCTTCTGTTTGGTTAGTTTTGTTTGTTTGTTCTTCTTTTTTTGTTTATTTTAGAATATCCTTTATTGGACTTTCAAAATACAGAGTCATAATCCGCAAGTCGGTCGAAGACATGAGACATGCAGAATTTACAAGTCTTTCTTTGATCAAATTCAACCGATCACCAATCAAAACATCAATGCTGCCTTGGATAGTATTGAGACGGGATGTGTTCCACTTTCTCCTACGTGGCACTTGATTCTCTTTCCTACACTGACAACTCAAAGCTATTGGGTCCTGAGCATATGCACCTCTTTCTTAGTCCCTGTTATTTCAGTCTCAGGTGTTGTATCTGTTTTCTTTTGGAATAAGCATCATCGGCGACTAGAGCCATCTGAAGGGCGGCCATTGCGCCTCAGATCTCTAGCAGCTAGATGCAGCGCAGGCCCACGAGAAGCCGATAGAGTCCTTGGAGCTGGAGGCGAGTCCTGGTCCTCCATATAGCTCTCAGGACTTCCCTCGGCATCGCCATCAGGCAGACTTCCACAGCTAGAGCCTGGTGACATTGTCTCAAGAAGATCGTCCCTTGCCAAGCTCACCACCGTGTCCTGATGTGGAACCCCCTGAGGGCCCCCTTCAAGTGTCCCGACCCCAACCAGCAGCCCTGTTTCTCCATCAGTTGTGCTGCCAACATTTCTCCCTCCGTCCTGGTCGTCCAGGAGGTTGGAGAGGAAGCTGATGTACTTCATAGCAAGCCGCAGGATCTCATTCTTGCTCAGCTTCTTGTCTGGAGGGTGAGTTGGGATGAGTTTGCGAAGCTCTGAGAATGCCCCATTTACGTTCTGCTGCCGCCAACGTTCACGGCTGTTAGTGAAGATACGACGTACAATCTTTGGCTGGCCAGCTAACAGAGAAAGCATTGGAAAAAGAGATAGACATAGATAATTAAAAAAAAGAGCAAAAGAAAGGCATTGAAAACATAACACAAATAAAACAGATAATGCTGTGTGTAAAAGGCCAAAGCAATATAAGGGCAATAAGAAAAATGGAAGAAGTAGTCGCAGGAAAACAAATTCACCTAGGTTTTGAGAAAAAATTGTTTTTGTCTTAAAAATAAGCTACAAAATGGTCATCCCTACAACCTTTGAATTTAAGGTGATGGAAAGTAGCTATATCTTTGCAAAAAAAAGTATAATATGCAATGTGCCGTATGCCGTTTGGCTTTGTGTGCCAAACCCCAGTAAAGTGTGTTGTGTAGACTTTGTCCTCCATATTCAATTTCGATGTACTTTGAACTTATTTTGGTATGATAAAATACATAATTGCAGGTATAGTCACATCCTCCCGCCCTCTACAATTGTGTCTTTCAGGCTATTGTCACCCTTGGAACACACCCAGTCTATCTTAATCCTTCAGCCCACTCTGCAGTAAAACCTTGGCATGGAGGCAGCAGCACCCCCATCCTCCACCCCTGTATGTGGCAGTGAGTGGGCAGCGATGGAAAGGATGTTTCAAATGAAATAAACTCAAAATCCGCTTGAAAATAGCTTCCTTTGATGGCATGCAGGTACATGTATTTGACATTAAGATTAACAGCATTCATTTATGTCATGAATTATGGTTTTATGGATTTGTTTCTCCTGGTTAAACGCTTATTTAGTGGCAGGCACCTTCTGCAACACTCAGATTAGTATAGATCAATGTCAGTGGATGAATGACAATGAAGATGAAGAAGGGATATAGGAGACTTGGACACAGCAAAGTCCACTTTAACATACTTATAAAGATCTAAAATATGCTTACCCTCGTCGAGTTCAACCTCATAGGGCGCCGGGCGTCGCTTTACCCTGTTGCTGGGGTACATGCTGTACTGCTCCGTCTCCCCTCCAAGACTACAGCAACAGAAAGCAGACAAAAAAAGTCTAAATGTATGTGAACAAAACATGAATTTACATTATATTCATCATTGCATTTAATCCTCAACAACCCCCACTCCTTGCACCAGGGGCACACACATGCACTCTCAGAAACACGTACACCCATTTATGGGATTATTATTTCTGTCATTAATGATACATAGGAAGAAATGTCAATATAATGTACACAATAAGCATATTTTCACACTTTAAAAGCCTTTTCCTTCAGGGCCATAGGACTGCATCTAGGCCTAACAGTCATGGTGCCCTCACAAGGATCGAATAGAAACGTGCATTCATGAAACTAAATTAGCCTATTTTTCATTTTCTGTCTCAACCTTTACCTGTTGATGGCGGCGAGAGGCTGCGCCAGGTTGTAGAGCATCGCCCGGGCCGGGACAGGAAACGCGTTTGGGCTCAGTTGGACCATTCGAGCGTCGTCTCGTTGCGGCAGCGGCAGCGGTGGAGGTCTGCGAAGTTCCGTGATCGGCACCAAATGGCTCTCAGTCCTAAACTCCAGCGCTTTTATAGCGTCCCTCCTGGAGAGCTCGATCACCGGCACTTCCCTTTTCAGGTCAAGGGCGTTGTGAGAGGCAGTTTCCTTGGCAACGCCGTTGATAATGATGCTGATGCTGTTCCCGTTGCTCGAGTTCTGCAGAGGAACGTCATCCGTCTCTTCAGCCCCCTTCAGGTTCCCTCCCCTCTCTTTCTCCCCCTCCTCCCTCCTCGGCTCCTCTTCCTCCTTGCACCCGTTTATTCTGGAGATGATGGAGGAGTCCTCCCGTTTTCCAGGTCCGGACACTGCATCAGGACTTCCAGGAAGAAGCTCCGGCTGCCGTTTTTCCATCATTTTTTTACCGTCACCACTCGCTCGAGTCCACTACGTCCTAAATAAGATTTTCCTCCATTAAGTTAATGACACAATGGTTCAGTCTTAATATACCGAATATATAACCAGCCTTTACTAAAAGCCTATAGGAATGAATTATTTTCATTTTTATTATTGGCGTTTATTTTAATGTTTTTATTACCATCATTATTCGAATTGCAGACTTTACATAACGAACAAACCAATTAAGAAAGAAAATCAATATTCTGTAAGCCGCTTGTATAATGTCTCGTAATTAGGCCTACCAGAATATATTCAACACTTCAAAAAGGTAAAAGTAATAATAAATAAAGAAAAGGCCGATTGCAACTCAAATAAAAAATAAAAAATAAGAGTTTTTTATTATTAATTCTCGAGTATTATATTATGTGTAAGCTATGAAGATTTGAGAGATTTCTGTTCTCTAAATCTGTTGCGATGTGAAAAATTCCTAGGCTCATTGTGAAATGTCACCAGTCAAACATTTTATCATAGATGTGGAGCCCGTGTAATTTATTTTAAATACATTTGTTATTTGTTGTTTCTGTAGTGCATGTTTTTATCTATTAATCTCTCATTGTTGGCCCTTACTCGTTGAGATAATACCTTAATGTAGCCTATATAAACCAAGGTTTGAGCCCTGCGTAAAGTCTAATATGAAAAGCTAATTAAGGTTGTTCTTGTTCTTTAAGGTGAACTTATCGTCTTAATGACAGCATGCCAGGACCACGAAGAGAGCTCGGTGTCCATTCCTCGTCGATATCAAATCCCACCTTTTTGGTTTTCATCAATCCACAGATAACCTTCAAAAATACTCCAACTTGATCGTTTTCTATAGCTAAACATGTCAGAGTCGGTGGTGTTATATGTCATTATAGCAATAGGCCACAATGCTGTTGTTGTTGTAAAGCCGCAAAAGCGTGTCAGATTGATTACAATAAACAACAGTGTAAATTGTTTTAATAGCTAATTAAAAAATAAAGATGTGGGAAATACTGGAAACGAACAACAGACCGCCACAAAAAGCGCACTTTTATTCCTGGGAATTCTCCAATAGGCCTCGCATCCGTTATTAGCCCACATCCCGTAGCTACAGTCTCCAACATACGATCGGACAATAGCAGAAAATGTAGGCTAAATATTCCGAATATAACATCGATAAATTCCGACGATAAGCATCAAATTATAGCCGTAGGGAACAACGAATAACCTGGTTTAAATACAGAGGTGTATTTTTTGCACTTACCGTTCTAGCCGTGTTGTTGATGTTACTGTGTAAGTGGAGCCATTTTGTGAGTGGGTCATCCATGTCTGAGGTTTTTTCTTTTTTTTCTACCAGTGCTGGAGCGGTGTGTGTGTGTGTGTGTGTGTGTGTGTGTGTGTGTGTGTGTGTGTGTGTGTGTGTGTGTGTGTGTGTGTGTGTGTGTGTGTGTGTGTGTGTGTGTGTGTGTGTGTGTGTGTGGCTGAGTTATTCCTCGCAGCATCCAGCGCGCTCCCTCAGTATGGGGAGCGGAACACAGGCCGCAATGTGGCCGAGTGAGATAAGCGCACGGCAGCGGCCTCTTCATTCCCGATAAGCCACTAAACCCATTATTTATGAAATGATTCATTATTATTTGGCTGTCGTGGGCTATATAGGCTTGTGGAGGGCAAAGCATAAAAAAAAGCAAACAGGCACAGAGCAACGGCCTGTAACAACGCGGGGTAGTATACTGTATCCAGAGCTTTAGTGGAGGTGTTTTTTTTATTTTTATGAAAGAAACAAAAGCTCAGGTTAAGCTGTTGACCTATTTTTAATTTCAACAAAGGGTTTTTTGCTAAGCCAATTTATCCTGCAATGAGATAACTACCGATAGCAGAGGGTCGACTCGTCTCTTTTTTCTTATTTTTTGTTATCCTGAAAAGAGTAGCCTATAATCCATATTAATTTCCTTCGCCTTGAGGCAGGATGTGCTATTGATACAGAATGACGAGGATGTAATTATGATAACGATGCCATAATCGAAAGGGACACACGATTCTATATCAATTAACAAATCAATACATGTATAAATGTGTGAATAAATAACTTAAGTAAATAAATAAATAAATGTGCTGTTGCATGTCATTGTTGGTGCTGGAGGCCTTGGACGGCGGTTCCCTGGGGCCGGGACTCATGGCTGGGGGAGATAAAAGCGTATCGGCCCCTGGACGCGTCAGATAAAAGAGCAGCACGCTATCAGAGCACATTCAGGACAGCTCAAATGGTAGCAGGTACATCCTAATAACGGCTTTTTCACATAGCGTTTTTCACGTTTTGTCAAATACGTGTATGAATTTAAATAATGGCATACATTTAGTCAAATAAGCGTGTGACGTGGCTAAATATAGAACCCAATAAACATAATTAGATAGTCTCATGTTACACGTTTTTAAGCCCTGTATTAGAGCATTATTAGTCACGAACTTTCAACAGATAAACAGCAGTCACGACCATCATCCGGCATCCTGTGCTTAACGCTGTATGGTCTGATTAGCCATTTAAACGTTTTTGTGGACCTCAATTGTGCCATAAGATGTTTGATGTTGGGGAGCAATCGGCACGTCTTTGTTCCAATTGGTGATCCTACATTTGCAAATCAATAGGCTACACCTGATTGATTCAATTGAGGCTGTGTTAGGTTTTTGGAGTTTCACTTTTGAAATAAAAAAACAAATTGTGATTATAATTCAACTTATAATTTAAACATTGATATTATAAGGGTGGTCCCTTATAATATAAATGTTTATATTAAGTTTTATCATAACTGAATAGCATGTGTTTTGTTCATAATTAATGAATGTATTACAAACTTTTGACATAATAAACAATTTAATTTAAAAGAAAACAAGTATCATTTTCCTGAATGATATTAAGTGACGCAGCACAAGTAAAAAAATAAAAGGAATCCTGCAGAGCCCCAGTGCAATATTATTTATTTGCGAACTTTTATTTATTAATTAAATAAATAGTTGAAATGTATCAGGAGCCATGATTATACCTGTGGTACATCATTCCACAAGTCAATCATCTGACATCATCAATAAGATTAATAGTAAACATTTAAGTGTGGCACAATATTTGAAACTAAATATTTTCTACACTCATTTAGGGAGTCAAAAATAAATCTAAATTTAAACATAAAAAAGTGAAGTTAAACGATCCCTATTCAGTTATGTCGGACCATGAATAAATAAAAACAGTTGTCCTGGATCTAAATAATATTATATAGTCTTAACATTTTATTAGTATCACAAATATACTCTGGAATACAGGTTATATCTAGTGCAGACCTACTGCATTTATTTGCATTTGTCCTTTGGTTATGTTTTTGATTTGTCATTGCAATCCGAGTCCCCTTGCAGTGTCATATTGTAATGAACATGCAACCTTGTAATCTCATGTAGCCTTTTCACACATCAAACTGCACAGAAGAAAACTCTATTCACAGGTTACAGTCAATGGTCAGGGTTTGTAGCTGTGAATTAAAATCCATAGCTGCAGGATAAATGGCTCTGTGCCATGCTTATTTCCCAGTCAGCGCTGGTTGCGTCGGGCTGGCATGATCCGAAGAGAAGCAGTGCTTTCCCGGGTCATGAGCCGCGTCACATGGTCCAGACTGAGGCCAGCAACTGCCTCTCCATTCACCTGCAGAATTTCATCACCGATGCCGAGGAGACCTGTGTAAGGGCCTTCGACACCACCGTCACCCACTTTCTCTACATACACACCTGGAAAGGAAACAATAAGAGGTGAACAGAGAGAAGGAAGACACATGAAATGAAGTTGAAGGAATGGTTGCATAGAGTGAGAATAGAGGAGGTAGAGCAGAGGAAAACAGGTGCAAGCAAAAAAAGTATTTAACCATAACAAAACAACAAAATTGTAAACATAAAACAGCTTTACTATGAGTAAAAGCATTTGTATCCGAATATGATCAATATAATTATGAAGATTACCAATTACCAATTTGTAAAAGGTCCATATTTATCTGAACAATGACATATGCAAGATACACGGCATATCAAATAAATACAAATAATAAGAGTAAAAATCCTGCAAAACACCAAATTTAAGAAAGTACAAAGACAATGTAGATTTAAAAAGCTACCTGTGTTGGGTCGACCTTTGCCCCTTGAGATGACAAAACCAAATGGACCATTTGGGGGTCTGACCAGCTCCAGGAGGAGAGTCCCATCAGGGAAAGCCTGGGTGACCCGGCCCACAGGACGCACAATTCTGGAGGCAAGTACATCTTCAGCACTCAGGGCCCTGTGAAACTCGATCTGAGGGCTGTCAGGGCTGTAACAGCAAAAATGCAGCTTTAGTCACAAAAAACGAAACGATGTGGTTCGATAATCCATGTTCATTGTATTTTTCTCCTTTATTTGGTTTATGACACTCACCTGGGTGCCAGGCCGTACGGTATCCGCACCTCTCCCAGTATTGTTGAACGTTCTGTTCTCCTCTCCAAACTCTGCACTGAGGAGGCTTTGCGCAGTTGGGCCAGTGGCAGCACCTAGTGGCAAATAAATGGCACTGTAAAACATTGTGTTACTGTTTTTCATATTGGCAAAATGTCTCCGGATCTGCTTTTGGCAATGCAACTTTTTGGCTCTTACAAACCTATAAATCTAACAATGTGTGATTGACACCAAACACATACACATTTTGCAAATACCATCTATGATTGGATGGTACAGAATGTTGTTTACATTATTTTAATGTAATATTTCAGCTGCCAGGAGGACAACAAGGATGGCTGCCACAGAAAGTAGGAAACACTGACAACCTGGAATGCATTATCTCTGCTCCCAATATCAGACAGAGAGGTAATACATCAAAGCGTAGGTTGGTCCACTGTGGCAAATAAGCAGTGAAAGGTACTTTAAAGCAGAACTTGGAATTTGTTCTCTTCCTACAGCAACCTTTATGGGGTTAACATTCTTATTTTATCGATGTGAAAAATAAAGGACGATGGCAGAGCAACACAACCGTCCTGAACATCATATGAAGAAGAGTTTGCTTCTCACCGTGTTCAGTGTCTGCAGTGAGGGCGTCCTCTGCATGCGGATGCTGGGCTGGGGTCTGCGCGTGGGGCTTGGGGAAGCAGAGTTGCCCACCCGTGGTGCAGAGGGTAAACTGAGCTGCTCCATGCTGCTGGAGCGGCCTCCTTTCACCAGCCTACCAACACTGTTCAGACCAATGGAGGAGAAGAAGCGACGTAGGAAGAGCTTCGGTCGTCCATCCATCTTTCTGTAAAAGGCCAGTCAGACAGACAGACATATTTTTTTTAGCAAGAGTGCAATATGAACACAACATATTTTAATATAGACACAAAGACATCACCAACATAACAAGCCAGGATTGTTGTTCTTTGTTTTATAATTCAGCTCTGAATGACCTTAACAAACACAGATCTTCATTACCAGAAGAGGGCAGTATAGTCTTAATGTTCACAGAATTATTTTAATAACAACATCCTGTGGACTGTAGGTCAGGGTTTTAATCTCCTAACTGCAACCAGGCTGACATGCTAAATGCATTTTGGAAACAGCATGGGGGGGGGCAAGGGGTTTATTATCTAAGCTATGAAGAGCGTTGTTACTTTGGCTTACCTGGAACCGTCACAATTTTCCTCCCATATGGCCTCAGCTTTCAGATGTTCTGCTCTCAGCAGCTCTGCTCTGAGATCCTCAGCCCGAGACATAGCCAGGACGCGCAGAGCGGGACGACACTCAGGACCAGAACCAGGCTCACCTGGTGGTACACACAATGCAATTAGTGGATGTCAAATAATCATTTTCCTGTATTATTTTTATTCCATTTTGTTCCATTCTATTCCACTGTCAGTGTTGGATAGTAACTAAGTGAATTTACCTAAGTATGGCACTAAAGTACCATTTTGAGGTACTTTCTGCTACTTTATATTGTACTGCTTTTCAAAGAACAATATTGTAATTTGTATTCCACCTAACTCATTGATTATTATATTTTGAAGATCTACAATTCCAATTTCTTAGGTACCTGGAAAATATTTTCAAATGTTAAATGTTGATTTATATATCTATATCTATATATATATAATATATATATTATAAACACATTTAATCAGGATTAATAATAATCTTATTAAATAATATCTTACCTAATTACTATTATTTTTTAATATTTGAGTACATTTTGCTCATACTTAATTAAGAAATTGAAACATAGTTCGTATTCCTAGAATAGTACATCCTAAATGGCAGAAAATCAAGTGTACGCGACCTTCCATAGGAACTGAGATCTATCCGCCCTGCTCTTCCCCAATGACCACTCACCTGCTCCATCTGGAGTGGCCTCCCAGAGTTCAACAGCTGGCAGGGCTGCGGAGTACCTCAGGGTGGAGGGTCTGATACAGGGCACTGGGTTGCTTTTGGCAGGGCTCCCTTGGGTTAGAGCCACTGCAGACTGCCCTCTAGCCTCTGTAGGGTCCAGGAGTTCAGAATTCTGTGATCCTCCCTCACCTCCCGGATTTGAAGTCATCTGGAACTGCACAGAGGACTGTCCTGCAGCCGAGCGATTCCTTGAACTCGACTTCAGAGCTGACTTTATAGGCAGTGTTGGGGGAGGAGATTCCCTTAGTCCAGATGCCTCCGGCAAACGGGGCTCCAGAGCGATGGGACTATCAGGGGAAAAAGAAACAGCTCTGCTCACATTGACCCTGTTCCTGGGATTTGAGTTACGCCGCTGAGCCCAAGATGGACCGTAAGGGCCATTGCCAGACTCCAGCCGACTTTCTCCTTTCCTACTCCTTCTCCTAAGTTTCCCAAACCCTGAAGGTTTCCACCCTGTGCTGCTCTCTTTGTTTTCCCCCAGCACGTAAGCTCCGGCAAAAGTGACAGTTAAAGAAGCTTTAGGACGAGTACTTGCTTCTGGCTTGTTATGAGGCACCCAGCGAGGAGCAGCTTTTTCCCGTGTGTCCTCAGGCTGTGGGGGCTCAGTGTTCTTTGGATCTGACTGTGATGACATTGGCTGGGGCTCCCTGACCACAGAGCCACATGCCTCACATTTCTTCACCAGCACTATAATCTCTTTAATCACTGTTGTGGGTTCGCCACTGAAACCCGCAACTTCTTTCTTCTGTAAAGGAGGCATGGAGACACTCCGATGGCTTTTGTTCCTCTCTGTTCCATTACTGCTAGAATCTGTATTATTTAATTTTTTCTTGGATTTGGGCCCCCCAGATCTGCTGCGCTGTCTCACTCTATCCAGGTACCGAGACTCTGCTTCTTTCTCTGATTCGTCTTCAAAGCGCACCCGTGTGGGTGAACAACCGTAGCGTCTGGATCGAGCCCCTTGGTCACTGGGGGAAGTGTCTCTTTGGCTGGAGATGAGGAGGGTATCAGATACAGTTTGAGCTGAATTATCTTCTTTGGTTTGAACAGCTTTCTGCTCTGGTGCTGGAGTGAGAGGCTCAACTTGCTGCTTCTTTCTGCAAAAGAACACAATCGTTTCTTTGTCGATAAGAGAGTAACACTTGTTTTACATTTCTTTGTAAGATAGTATCTTGTAAAAGTGAAGCAAAAATTAACATAAGTGACACTGAATTTCAGATATCTCTCAGAAACAGAGCAGGTAGATGGAAAACCTTTTCAAATTGAGAGATTTTTGGAGATTATATAAACAAAAGACCTGACAATGAGAATTACAGTTCATAGTGGCTGCAGGTAGGTACGCTAGGTCTTTAATGTATGTCCAATGTAAATCTTCCTTATTCTTATTCTAAATGAAGAGAATGCTTCTTGCTAATATGAGGGATTTTAAGCAAACTAAAGTGTGTGACGTGTTCAATGTCACATGAACAGAACGACAACAAACATTTTCTCAACATTGACTGCGCTGTGTATGTCAAAGCGTCAACTTATGTTCAGTTACGCAAAATTAGAATTGCCAAAGTGCAAGAGAAGATGGGACAAAGCAGAGGTGAAGATAGGGGAGACATACGGATGGGAAATTGAGGGATTAACAGATACAGCAAACTAACTTGTCAGCAAATTAAACTCGTTATCACTACAGTGATTCATAACTGTGCATGCAAAACTGTACAAAGTTCTGAAGATGCCAAAGAGGTCATAGCCCACGTAAGCAGATGAAGCCAACTTACATGGTGGATCTCTGATCAGACTTGGGGCGTCTGCAGCGGAGATCTTCGTTAATGTGATTGGAGCGAGCCTTGAGTCGTGCTCGCTCCAGAAGAAGCTTGGCTTGCTCATGTCTTGGGCTCAGAGGGAGTTCGTCACTGATTGCAAGAAGCGACCTGACAATCATGAGAAAGATGCAAATTAGTAAAGTCATCCATCATTCTGGGTGATGGAAAACAGCAAGGCAAAAGGAATGAGTAAAATTAAGTGAGTGATGAAATGATGGACCTCTGTTTGAGCGAACATTTATATTTGTTGAAGTTTAATTGTGCAAAGCTGATTGTATGTGGTGTAGAATCCAGCCACGTTATGTACCCGGCAGATTGACTTAACATGGAGTGAATGAAGATGCGTCTTCCTAAGCTGTTTTATGTAATATCAGATTTATAGTCAGGGGCGTGGCACTAGTGGTGAGCTGCAAAGAGAAACGTCATCCTAACATCTATCCTTATGCCCAGCAGCTAAGCTGCTCTGCATTGTGCTCCATCGTCTCTGCTTGTGTTTATCCCCTGGCCTAGTGATAAAGATAGCATGATACACCAGCCATGTGGATTATCCTTGTAATGGACTGAGTGTGATTCATTTCTCTTGTGTGTCAAGAGGAGACAAACATTCAGTTTCAATAGATCACAGTTTGTCATGTCATTCTTTATTCTTACACAAAAACATCAGCCTGTTTCTGTTTTGTCTCATGCTCAGCCTTTTTATTCTTCAGTTTATTATGATAATGACCAGAATGATCTATAGTCTATAATAATTATAATAGCCGGAAGATCAACTGAAAAGGGTTGATCAAATGAACAATTCAACCTCTTAACAAATTGTTTTTATTACTCAGTTGCACACACATTTTTGATTTACTTACAGATCTATCTACTCCGTTTTATTTAATTAACATATGACTGTTACTCTATCTGGTGTCTTACATTCAATAATTACAATGTTTGGAGACAAAATCTCTATTTTTCAGTATCACAGTTTGCAAATATCTCACAATAAGAGCTTCATTTCCTAGTGTTTTTATGATAATATATGAGCTTCTTAATATACAGTATTGGAAATTTCTTTATGGATATATTTTATAGGATTTATATTTGTTTGACACAAGAAGCTTTGCACTGCTCACCTCAGATAGGGTTTGAGTGTCTGCGCAAAAATGGCTGAGTCTGAGCTGCCCAAACCCCCATGGGCCCCTGCAACTGGCAGAAAAAACATTCAGAAAAATGCACATCACAGCAAAAGGAAATTAATAAAATGTGGATAAAAAAAGGCTTTAAAAGTATTCAAAGAGGTAATGCCCATTATTTTGTGTTTTAGCTTACCTCTACATTTATATAATATATCCTATTATGACGTAGCATAATCTTCTAACTTAGGGTTTGGTTCTTATTTAGTGTCGTGTAGTGGGAGATTTATGGGAACATACTGTCAAGAGAGCCATCAGCCATAATGTGACCCACAGGATCATGTGGGTATTAAACCAATTGGATCTTTGTATGATCATGGGAATTGTCATAAACCTTCATACCGTTAGATTCAGTGTAATGGCAACTTTAATGTTGCAATGTCCTATATTCGTTTATTGCCAGGGAACTGGATGTTGGATAACACAGCTGTGGTTTGCCAAAGGGCGTTACTGTATCTGGATAAGGAGGGTGGAAGTGAGAGCACCTGAAATTAAAGCCAGGGGAATATTTCCTCCTCCTTTATTCACAAGACATGCACAGAAGCCCCAGGATGAGATCTGGCTGGATTAAAGGATTCCTTCTGGCGTTTGCCATGGCTGGGTCTCTTCTTTACCTCGGCTCCATGAAGAAGGAGGTTCATACCCACTCATAGAGACTCAGTAGAGCCCACCACTACGACTCCATCAGGGGTCAGGGAATACTCAACAGGATGGACAAGATGAAAACAGACATCAACAGACTGCTCAATGTGACGAATAAACTTGAAAAGAAGGAACTGGTGAACCAGAACAATGCAGAAGTGAAGAAGGAGAGGAGCGTGGTGAGGAAGCTCAACCCAGACACTCATCTGTTCACCAAGTGGGGGGACGATCTGAGCAGAAGGAGCCAGAGAGGTTGTTCCAGAGATACGGATACAACGCCTTTCTCAGTGACCGGCTGCCCCTCAACAGAGAGATCCCCGACACCAGGCCGGCCAGGTGTGCTGATAAAAAAATACTCTAAGGATCTGCCTTCCATGAGTGTCATATTAATCTACCTGGATGAAGCAGGCGCGTCACTCAAAAAATGTCGTGGCGTACAGAAAGATGTCGCATCTCTTCTTCTCTGTATTGCTAGTCTCAAACGGGGTGTGAGAGACTGTGGTGCTCGGTATTTCTATTTTGATCACTTTAATGAAGTTGGTCGCTTAGTTGGTCGTGCTGATTTGTCGTTCACATGGGTCTGCTTTAGTCTTTCTGGTAAGTACTGTTTTATATAGGAAATATTCTGATATTGAAACGTATAAAGACCTTAAATGAGAAATTAGACTGAGAAGACGACTGTGAAGTTCCCTACCGACGGGGATTACTGGTCCGACAGGTGTGAGCCGAAGCGTAGTAGTGCGTGGTTCTGCCATGGGGTTCGAGTGTCTGGAGGGGAATAGGCTCAGCGGTGACTATCACGTTATAATGAAAACCTGTGAACCGCCGCGCCACCCAAATCTGCACGTGCGCCGTATTTTCCCCAGTATCCAACTGGTGCCTATCTTTCTCCTGTGGTCGGACCAGGTCTCCTTAGTTCATAGCTAGTGGTCGGGCTCGAGGGTCGCCTCGGGCCGTCTGACGAATGCGTTGGAAACTGTCTTATCTAATTAGGCCAACCATAACAGTATCTTCGAGTTATTCTGGTAGTAAGATTCTTGACGTGGTTCCTGGCTAGTAGACACACACGGACGCAGAGCGCTAGTGAGGTCGGTAGACACTTCATTACCGTTATTTGATTATATCCGTTACGTTGTAATTCACACGGGGTAGTGTAACACAGTCGAGTCTACTCTAGCCTGGACTACTTTCACAAAGTTTTTCGTAGTGTCGGGAGTCAGTTTTGGTTTGAATCAATAAGTAGTGTACGTAGAGTAGATGTAGGAAGAACGAGCTTAATTTCGAGTCCGTCTTTCCCACGATAATTAGCTTTCCCGACGTCGTGAACTCCTCGTGTATTGAACTGACGGGTGTCACCTTGTCAATTTGTTTTTCCTTCTTGGCAAGTTTGCTTTCTTCTTGGATTAACCTCTTCTCAGTTTGACTTGCACCTTCGTCGTGTGTACGAGTCTATTTTCTACTAACGAGCGACCCTGGTGTTCTTTGTGGAGATCTCTATTTGGTCCTTACCCCTACTTGAGAATGAAGTCCCTTTAGTGGTCGTTCTACGGTTAGGTGTAAGTTGCAGACTTATGACGGAGTAGTGTTGTGGGTTGAGATAAGGGCCTGTTTATATGTCTGTCTACGACCGTCCCGACAATTGATAGTGTGGGGGAGTTAGTGCTACGCATTAGTTCCACTGTGAGATATTGGAGTTAGGTCTCCGTTTTACGTCGTAGTGATACGATACGACGACGAGGTGTCTTAGAAGTAAGGATGGCAAAGTGTGGTCTCTGTGAGGACAAATCTACGCATCGGGTAACGTCAAACTTCGAAAGTAGGCACGTAAACTCTCTCCCTCATCTGTTCTTTTTGACTACTACTTCACTGACGGACTGTAGTAAGTTTGGACGTGGCATTTCCTGGCCATTTAGTAAAAATAACAGGACGCAGACCCTAGTGAAGGTCGGGACGGACACTTCTTACCTTTAGTTGCTTATAACTTTGCTGTATTTCGCACGGTATATTAATCACCTTAGAACGAGGAATAGTAGGCAGAAGACTTGGGACGGCTGGCGTCCACCGGAAACTACTTATTATACTATAAAAAGGTAGAGACTCACCGTATATGACGACTTATTGGTCAAATATTAACGCCAGAGGTCGTATCTTAAGTAAAGGTCCCGTGGTAGAAAATTGAGTAAGTGCTGCGGGTTGTCACAAGTCCCGGCACAAGGCTCGACCTCGAACTTTTCGTGACTCAAAAGGGGACAAGTGTGGGTCGTGCGCCTCGTCGGTAGCACATCGAGCTTAGGCCAAGTAAACTCGGGTTTTTTAACAGGCCGACCTCGTTTTGCGTACGTATGAAGGTGCGAATGGCCAGCTCCGCCCGTACCACACCCTCAGTTGAGGACTTAGTGTTGTTTCCGGTAGTCGCAATGAATAGGTCACACAGTGTGATTGCTACCTCCTTGAATGTTCGTCGTCGACCAGCGTGACTTCTCTAGGGATCTATGGAAGACCTATAGACCAAGAACGGCGTATCTCGATTCGTCTCCTTCGACCTCGTGTTCGCCGGTAACAACAACAACAGCCACACTGTCGACAGCTCGCCAAAGGCGCGCAAACCCAGAATACTTCGTTCGGCCGTGTCGTTGCCTAATGCGTAGTATCATGCGTTGTGCTACTGCGGTCGTGTCTACCATAGAGTACCCGCCATCAGCTTTTCTCGGCCTCGATTTTGCTTCTTGAGCCAAGAGCTTGTAACTTTTAGAGATCGTGTCCTCGAACTTGGCGTGGCCGGCCTAACGCAACCACACGTGTACATCGCATATATAACACAGAGACAAGACCTATCGAGTAGCGGACAAATTTAGGGGTGTCAGACACCTTAAAGAAAAGCGAGCCGGTATAACGGTGAGTATGTCAGACCTTTACGCTGAAGCCTCGGCCCCAGCGCTGTCTGTACCCAACGACAACGATCAACCATGACACACCTCTAAACATAAGGTGGCCTACGATGGTCAACAGGGAAACCACGTCATTAATTGCGCACCAACCGACATCACGTTAGTATCTCATCATTACCCATCAAGGGTCACGTAACCCGTACGGGTACCAAGTTAAACGTCTTAAATCGACGAGCTGGTAATTGGTCGCGAGGGTATTCGCTCGTCAGTACACGGTCCATCCCATGATCGTAGCCCATTTGTAATAGGTCGATGGTGACTTTCCGAACGTCAAAGGGACGGAGAGAGGTCGAAAAGGAGAGCTGTGTGGGCGGTTAGGAGTAGCTGGCTACTAAAGGCTGTTGTCGCGCTTCCAAGGCCCGTGATAACCTGTAACATAGAACTATATAGGTAGTGTAAGGTCGTGGCAGCCGTGTGGAGATCTTTCGTAATGCGAAGTAGTAGCTGTGAAGGTTAGGTACCCTCCATTCCGAAACGACCAGAGCAATTTACACCCGTAAAATCTCGTTCCTTATTGGAGATTACGAAGGAGGTGTGGTTGGTGTGGGCCTACGGCTCAAGGGTGTAAAAATGGGCGACATATAAAAGTAAGGTGGTACCTTCCGGAAGGCTATAGCAGGTTTCTTGAACGTTAGTCGATTTGTAGGACACTACCGCCCCGGACAGCAAATGTCCTTGTCACTTAGCAGGAAATTTGTATGTGTTAGCCAGACTTCCGAAGCGATGTGACAGTGGTGTCTCTGAGTCAGTTCGTCTAGGCTCGATCATACATCCCTATTCAAAGTACAGCAGGCATTCAAATTAAACACAGTTGTGAGCGACAGCTATCAGTGCCGACGCCAGAACGTAAACTATGGCTGCGTTGTTACCAAGACGTAGCACGTGTACCTGTAGATACACCGTAAGGTTCTACCGGTGGTCGAAGGGGGTGTCGTTGCGAGGGTGAGGTCTCTCAGACGCGACTCACTCGGAGCTCGGCCGCAGTCTCACTCCGGAGAGACGTGGTCCCGACCTGCGAGGAGCAGCCTATCATCAAATAACCAAAGTAGGTCAAAGGGAGGTAATTAGCAAGTAAATGAACCGATAGTTACGTAGGTGGTGTTCATAACTAAAGTACAAAGTTCGTCCACTACGACCCACAGAAAAGTCACTAACGACACTTACCGATAAAACTACTNTTAGCAGGTGCCACTTGATTGACGTATATTTGAGACACCTCAATAATATACGTCCTCTCTTGTGTCATGATGAGGTTCACGTAAAGCACGGTTAATGTATTATATTATTGAGGTGTCTCAAATATACGTCAATCAAGTGGCACCTGCTAACGGGGTGGTGGATGATAGGTTTACATCTAAAAACGTATTTTTCAAACATTATTATTTTAATTTGATTTTTCTTTCTTTTGTTACTTTTTTTTTTAACGGTCCGCGATCTACCCGCACCACACTCGCGATCGACTGGTTGGCGACCACTGCTTTAGTGCATTTTGATTCAATGCTGAGTACAGCCAAACTTGACAGTCTCTTCTCTGTCATCGTAGACCGCAAATACCTAATTCCTTCCGTCTACGGTCCGAATCAGACTGTTCAAATAAAATCGCCACCAATCATATTTCCATGCTCGCGGCAGGGCCGTGGGGAAGGGTTACAAGACTTGCGTCTTGTGCTGCATTCACTTGCACTCGGACATTAGGGATTTTCTCTCATAAATGTCCGATGAGCCACCACTTTTATTTCAAAACAAAGCTGATAACTGGGGTGGTAAGGCTATTTTTTAGGGTGGCAGTTGCCATCCCATGCCACCCCGGTAGATCCGCCCCTGCCTCCATCTGACAGGAAGGAGCCTCATTGAGCTGAGAGTGTCACTCCACGGAGTTCACTCCGTCACAGAGGGATAGTGTGTAGAGGTAGGGTGTAGGGCGTGGTTTGGGATTGGGCCTAGGTAATGGTTTTGACTTTTTCTCAAGTTTTTTCCCCCAATAAATAAAGTGTATACAGTTGACATGACTCATTAGAAAAATAAAATCATCATAGTCATTCTAAATGATGAAACCAGTTTGTAATCAATCAAAGCAGTCCAAAATGGTTAAGATTAAGTTGTAATCCCGTACAAAATTCCCATATTCATCGTGTTCATAATCTTGTTTGGTTTATATTTTTTTATTCAAGTCCAACACTCACACTTTGCAATTGGAAGAAAAAAAGCGTCACAGTTTTGTTATCTATTCCTTCTTAAAAGACACAATAAAAATACAGGCTATTTTTGATTATGGATATTTGAACTTAACTATAATATTCTTCCCCGCTTTTTCATTATGTTACAATACTCCTTATTACAGTAAATCTGATACTGGGAACAATATTGGTGAAGTGTACACATATTCTCCAAACAAATTGGAGTCTTAGGTAGATTTATATTTTTAAAAGAATAAGACATGCATATCTGCTTAAAATTCTATAATTTATTTGTATTTTTAAATGATATGGATTTAGGCCCAGTTTATTGCTGTATTGCACAATGTATGTGTGAGAGCAATGAAGAAGATATTTAGTGAATATATAATTGTTTTTGGCAGAAAAATCACTTAAATGCACATCAAAGGTCGTAATCAAATGTTATGATAAAGATATTCAACATGAACAATTTCAATCTAATAAGGTTAAACCCTGTAAGGTGTATATTTGTTGTGATAGTTCTTATCTAATAACAGCATTTTTCTAATTAAGGCTGGTTTTTGTGTGTGAAATTGTAATAATGAAAACAATACACAATTAAATATATATTTGACCTTATTAATGCAGTCTCCCTACTGTCTTTTTAACATCTACATGACAACACACAAGTGTCTCAGTTTCCCCCAGAGAAATAAACCACGAAATGCAATGTATCTTCCAGATGGATTGCTGTTGTTGAAAGGAAAAGGAGTCATGATCATTTTTAATCTGGAAAGAGGTCCTGACTGTCTAATGAGATATAGCATTTGTAAAAGTCAAAGCTATTTTTCATTGTACAGTGGCTACACTAGAGAATAATTTATAGTGCATTCATCTCTTTCTGCTGCAGAGGGTTATCCTCCGTGATCGCTGCTAAGGTTATCTGTTATCGTGAGTGTGTCAATGAGGCTTTTTTTTTTTTTTTTACCTATATCCACTTCTGGGCGATGCTATTATAAATCTATATAAGTCTTTTGTGTCCCTGTGGGTCTTAATCACCTTCACCCCTGCCTTCAATATTTGCTGATAATTAGAGAAACTAGTGTTTCACCATTTCTGTACTGTTTTGCCCCATAGGCCTAATGAATCCCCATATTCACATAACAAACTATTGGTTAAATTCAACAGAAACAGAGCTGTGGTGAAAGAAAAGATGCTGCAAGAATATTTTTTACCATCCTGCTGTGTGAGTGCCATCCACGTAAATGCTTAAGTATTTATCTCCTTTTGTTTTCCAGTCAACAAAACATAAATAACTATTTTTTTGTAAATTTCAAATTTTGTGGGACATTTTTTTTTCCTTCATTGTCTGCCACCTTTTCATTACTTTCTTTGCATTCAGAACTTGGACGCCTTACACCCTCTAGTGGAAATCAAATGCAATTATAGATAATTTTCTTCAATTGTTCTCAAATTTGTATTTGCCTCACTGACACAGAGCTTATCTATTATAATTGCAATGACTAATGGCTTATAAATTAGCTTCCAGTTTTGGCTCTAAATAAATAAAACTCAAGGGTCATCCATTTCAAGTATAGTCATTTTTAATGCATTGTTTCTAAGAACAGAAGTGTTGCATAAAGCAGTCTAATCAAGCCTCATCCATCTCTAAATATAGCAAGGCAAGCGAAGCATTTATTGTGATTAGTACGAGGGTGTCGAGCAAAATCAGAAGCAGCGGCATTTAGCTGAATCACATACATTTGACAAAGCAGTGCAATAGGTTGAAGGTTGTGCAGAATCTACAAGCAGTTTCAACTAGGGCTCATTCAAGGTCATAGGCGGCAGTCACAGGTTTTCATTATCAGTGGGTTTGTTTTTTTAGTCTGGGTAAAGCAGGAAGCCAGAGAAAGTGCTGTCATCCTCGTTGCTGGAGTAAACTCCGTTCCAGTCTCTCAGAGTCTCCAGCCACACCTGGTCGCCTTTGTTCAGCTGCATCAGAGCCAGGTTGGAAGCCTGATCGATGTCCTGGCCGTACAGAGAGTCCCGAGTCCGCAGCTTCCGTATCCCATTGACCACTAGGGCAGCACGCACAGGCCTGTTGCGCACGGTGATGTGGTAACTGAATAAGTAGACCCCTGGATAGGTGGCGTTGAACTTGTTGATATTCGGGTCCCAGTGCCCCTCCCCATTGTAAAACACCTTATCAAACTTCACAGGCAGGCCGGGCGGAGGGAAGGACCTGCTGGGGAACAAGCCCACACTGAAGGCCGAGCGGATCAGCTCTGCACTCTTACCTGGAGCACCTTTAGGGCCCCGAGGTCCACGCACACCTTTAACTCCCCTCTCCCCCCTCTGCCCTGCCATGCCCCTCCCTCCTGGAGGCCCTGGGTGCCCTCTGACACCTGTATCCCCCTTCCCTCCCGGAGGCCCTGGTTCCCCTCTCTCCCCCTTTACACCATCAGTTCCATTCACTCCTGGGGGGCCCATCTCACCTCTCATTCCAGGGGGCCCAGGCTCCCCTATATCACCAGGTAAACACTCGGGTGTAAGTCCTTGTTCACCTTTCTGACCCTTTGTCCCAGAGGGTCCGGGGGAACCTGCAGGCCCCTCTCGCCCGGCGCTGCCCTTGGTCCCATTCAGGCCGGTCTCTCCCCTTTCTCCAGGGTCCCCTTTCAGACCGATGAAGCCACGTTCACCTTTCTCTCCTCTGGGGCCAGGATCACCTATAGTGTGTACAGAGGTAACATGCAAATAGGAAGACATGTTTCGAACAATCTCAGAATTTAACATTTGCATACCTTTAAAGGGGGCATGTATTTAATCTAATCTGATTAATTATGGCACAAAAATATATGATTTAAAACAGCGGTTTTCAAAGTCTGATACTGTTGGCTTCCCCGTAGACGCATTTTTTCTTTTGACATTGTCTTTAAACTAAAACATTTCCATTCACTAGTCTACTGCTAATAATGATTTAGGGCCCTAAAAGCAAGTCTCCCCCCTTTGAAAATCTATTATCTATTATTTATACAAGTTTTACTAATACAGACCTCTCTCTCTTTGTTTTTCCGAGGTGCCAGGGGCACCAGGAAGACCCATCGGCCCTTGATCACCTTTTTCACCTGTGGTAGGTTTGATAAATAAAGCGTAGAAAATGATATCAGAGTACTTAAACAGGCCAGGGTTTTGCAGAAAAGAAGAGACATTCAAAATATCTCCTGCTGTTAAGCCGCGTTATACCTATGTCACCATTGAGTCCGTTGGCTCCAGGAAGACCTGCCAGTCCTGGGGGCCCTCTGGTCCCGGTTTCTCCTCTCTCTCCTGGTAACCCTGGGAGGAAAAAAAAGATAAGAGCATAAACAGGAAAACATTTGACCTCCAAAAAGTAACTTAACTAACCTGAAAATAACAATCAAACTTACCTACAGGGCCCTTCTCTCCTTGCGGTCCCGGTGGCCCTGTCTCACCTATGGGCCCTGCGGGGCCTCGCTCTGGCGGACAGCACTCACAGACGTTGAAGAAGCATTCATTGTAATCAAGGGTATAGTTTCCAAGGGCGTTCCCGGGAGGTGCTATGGCGTCGGTGTGGAACTCAGTGGAGAAAGTATCGCTGGAGAAGGTGGTGCTGTCTGTGGGGGACACGGAGTAAGAGTCCATTGTCACCTCAGTTGTCTCATCGTTGTGTGCGCTGCTGGAAGGAGACGGGGTTGTGGTGGTGGTCCGTCTGAATCGTCCACCTCCACCACCTCCGCTCCCAGCTCGAGGGGGCTTCCTGGTGGTCTGAGGTTTAGGCCGGCGTGTGGTTCTGGCACTGAAGGTCATCCCGGCCATCAGTACCACAAGGAGAGTGGTCAGGAATACGAGGCGAACGGAAAACATACTGACGACTGTAGTAATCTGTAAGGAAATGGGTGGAGATTTGAAGAATATAGACAAAACTGAATTTATTCCTATAACACTACTGTGTTTGCGATGTATAGTAAAGCAACAAATGCATCTTACCTTCTGATGTAAATGGTGTTGACTTTTCACTCCATCCCCTCCAATTTATGATTGGTGTAGGCTGCCTCTTTTCTTATATTGCCCCAGTAGCCCAGAGAGAGAACAAGGGACAGCACATGGGGGGTTATTAGGAGGTAGGTGGGCTGGTAAGAACAGATTATATGGCTCCTGAGGGATTTGAAATAAAGAAGGTTTTATACAAGGCGAGACTTTATTCTTTGTGATATGGGATATGAATCCAGGGACCATGAGCGCACACAATGCTAAAGTGTTGTTCACACACATGCTTGCTTTGTACACAAACAGCAGGTTACACACAAAGATGCACATTTGCTGAACACGTGTACATAAGCATACAGGATAGACACACAAACTCACACATTGTTGGTAATGAATAGTAAATCATATAGTTGCCGGGTGCAACACCTTGCAGTGATCACACCATTTGGCAGCACCTCAAAGCAGAACATGGATCACCATACACCCAGAGGGAGAGGGATCAATGTCCCAAAACAGGCGGCGTGGCAACATTGATCTAACCGTTCACTTCCTTGATCAAACCAACCCAAAGAGCCCAGTAAACCTAGTAAACCTCATGGAAACCTGGCCCCACTGAACTAAGCTTTACATGTCTCCGAAAGGGTGTAGGATTTAGTTTCAAACCAGTGAAATTAACTCTGAATGATTTAGTTGCGTAGGCTCCACATAAGATGACATGATACAGAATGTGGCAAAAATAATGGATTATCAACTCAACAGAACAAAAGGGCAGAAAAGGTCACTACAGAGGAAATATATCCTGACATATTAAGTTCGTAAATTGCTTTATAATGATAACTTTTAATATGTTAACTAAACTAAAACTATACATGTAGGTTTAATCATCTTAGTATCCTCCTCAAGTCTGTAATTGCTTTTGAAAAAATCACATCATTCAAATTGTTAACCTCACATTGGCTCCCATTGTTCTAACAAGAGTATGATTGTTACACCCTTATTTAAAATCGAATAGATATGATACAGGATTACAGGTACTTTTATTTTGTCAGGTTATCCTACGAAAATCTTTTCAAACACCATGTTCACAATTGACACATTTACATGAATTGTTATATTGACTGTTGCATATTTCAAAACAGAAAAAAACACGTTTTCATTTATAAGGCTTGGTTAAAATGGTTAAGTTGTATGTATGTGTGTGTGTGTGCGTGTGCGTGTGCGTGTGTGTGTGTGTGTGTGTGTGTGTGTGTGTGTGTGTGTGTGTGTGTGTGTGTGTGTGTGTGTGTCTGTGTCTGACTTGCTTTGTCCTGGTTGTTGATAGGACTGTCAGAGGTGTATCACTCCAAAAGGTCACTAGGGGGAGATGTTGAGTCAATGTAATGACTACTGAAACAACATCTGAACAAAGGCCTAATTTCACACACTTATTATTGCATCATGTCATTTACGTGTATTTAATTGTTGTTTTACACGTATTTTAGCTACTTTACATATGTGTATTTATATGTCTATACGTGGTTTCTATTCTATTTTAGGCCTAGTTAATATTGCATTGATTCATGTCCAGTTGCTCATAACAAATTAGCAGGGGCATTGAATGTTCCGGGGAGAATGGAAGATAATATGGAGTGTGGAAATGTATGTAGATTAATACAATATGATGTTGTACTACATGACATCATGATTTCATTCCGCAGTTTGTCCATTGTATGAGCTTGCAGCTGCGCACTCCTGTCAGCACCGACTGCACAAGAATGAGCCGTCATGTTGGTCATCGGTATCTTTACCACGGTCACCGAAATCCACTTCCGCTACATACTTTCAAAATAAAGCCCTGACTCTAAAAAAAAACGCCCTTTGTCCACCCTAGTGAGCTTCTATAAATGCTTTCATTTTATTAAGACAAGCACAGTCGACTTCCGGTTTTATCCTTACTCACCCTTTGTGGTTTGACACATTGCAAGCATGGAGGTGTGTGTGTGAGAAAAATCTAATTTTGATACGGACATTGAACAGACACATATCCGAGAGGGAAAACAGGGTTTACGGTGGAAAAGAAGCACGTCGACTGACTCTCGCGCCCCGGTGACTCCCATGTCTATTTTCGGGGTGAGTCTCACCCAAAATATCCGTAATCCTACAATGGGCTGTGGGGCTTTACTCGGAAAATCCACTAGCAGCTGTTTAGGTAGCCGAAGATAGGACCAAGACATCGGACCGAGACAACGGTGGCCTGTCCGCTTTTGTCCTACGCTGCTCGGCCCGGTGTCTGACAGGCCCCTGAGGAGCTCTTTAAATGTTTAAATCCAGTCTTCGTCAGATATCGTGGCAGTGAATCGATTTCTTCACAGTCCCTCTGAGCGGATGGAGTGAATTGTGCAAAAAGGGGAGAGAGACAGACCGCAGTTTGGTTGCGTGTGATGATAGGAGACACAATGACGCTCTTGTCTCTTCTGGGTCGGATCATGCGTTATTTTCTCCTCAGGCCGGAGACATTGTTCCTGTTGTGCATCAGTCTGGCGCTGTGGAGTTACTTCTTCCACACGGACGAGGTGAAAACCATCGTCAAGTCCAGCCGGGACGCCGTGAAGATGGTGAAGGGGAAAGTGGCGGAGATGATGCAGAATGACCGGCTGGGAGGCCTCAGTGTCCTGGACGCAGAGTTCTCCAAAACCTGGGAGTTCAAGAACAACAACGTCGCCGTGTACTCCATACAGGGGAGAAGAGATCACATGGAGGACCGCTTCGAGGTGCTCACCGACATCACCAACAAGAGCCACCCGTCCATATTCGGCATATTTGACGGTCACGGTGGAGAGGTAGGCTGGGGAGGGAAAGGTTATACAGGCCAATGAGGTTACACAGGCCAATGAGGTTACACAGGCCAATGTTATCACTATTATCCAATGTTATCACTATGCATCAGGACTCATCCAGATACACATACAATTAAATTAAATTCAAAACCTTTATTTATTCAGGTGAAAACCCATTGAGATCATTGACCTCTTTTTCAATGGTGACCTGCTGCAAGTAGGTTCCAACATGAATACAAACATGACAGAAAAACAAAGAGGACATCATATGGCATATTTACATTGACTACAGTTTGTATAGCTAGTAGCATTTACAGATACCAACAGTTTCCGATTGGATAGCATCTATCCTTGCTTTAAAAACATGTAATGGAACCAAACTGCTCAACTTCCATTCCTTTTGCAGACTGTTCCAAATTAGCGGAGCTGCGCATCTAAAAGCTGTATTACCTAAGACAGTCCTGGCAGTTGGCAATTTAATACAACCACAGCATTCGATCTCAGGCAGTAGCCATTTACAATACGCCGTGAGATCAGGGAGCAGATGTAGGATGGAAGTTTCTCTAACATTGCTTTGTAAATAAAAAGATACCAGTGATTGAGCCGCCGTACAGTTAGTGAAAGCAAACCTGCCCTTGCATACAGGGTACAATGATGGGTTAATGCTTTAAAGTTTGTCACAAATCTCAGTGCACTGTGATAGGCGGCATCTAACTTGATCAGGTAATTGGCCGGTGCATTCATATAAAACAGATCACCATAGTCCAGCACAGGTAAAAAGGTCACAGTGACTAGCCTTTTCCTGGCCTCAAGTGAGAAACAGGACTTGTTTCTGTAAAAGAAACCTAGCCTAACCCTCAGTCTTTTAAGCAGGTTATTGACATGCAGTTTAAAAGAGAGACAGTCATCAAGCCAGATACCAAGGTATTTGTAACAGGTTACCACTTCAAGTTTTTTCCCTTGCGCAGTTACAATATCTAAAACAGGCTCTGGTGTCTTTTTAGCTTTTGAAAAGAGCATTATCTTGGTTTTATCCACATTTAAAAGAAGCTTTAGCTCAGAGAGCTGAGTCTGAACAGTGTTAAAAACAGCCTGTAATTTAACAACCGCCTCCTTAATGGAGGTACCTGCACAATACATCACGGTATCATCAGCATACAAATGTAAAGTAGCTTCATCTACATTATAACCTAAGCTGTTGATATATATGGAGTAATAAAAGTGGACCTAAAACAGAACCTTGTGGTACACCATTAGAAATGTTTAACCACTCAGAAGACAGCCCATCAAAATGAACACATTGGGACCTTTCAGAGAGGTAGTTATAGGTCAATCAGGACTTTGGCCCGCACCGGCCTGTTCATCTGGGAAGGAAAAATTTCTATCGACGTCTAAAAGAACGAGGTAAGAATGAAGAGAAAAATAGGAGAGGGAGTCGGCTTATGTTAAGGTTTTCATACCTTCAGACGAATACAGAACGGAAATGACTTCCTCCCCTCCGTTGATAAAATTTATTGATATCCCGGTTAGAGATTTAAACGTCAAGACCGATTTCACGAGCTTGCGACACTGCACCTCGGTCATTTCCCAAAAAATACATTTTACTATAGGACAGATTTGTAGTCAGTCCAAGTCCTTCTTTGTATCGTGGTAGATGACGGCTGTTACTTTCACACACTTAGTAATGAATCATAAAATCTATTATTCTCTCAACACGTCGAGACTAAACTAACCTGGAAAGTTCGCAAACTGTGGCAGCCAGTAGGTAGAATTTAGTCTGGGATGAGTCATAACCGTAATAGATTCGGTTAACGTAACCCC